GGGATGCAAATGTAAAATATGCTTGGCTTCCTTGTTCAAAAGCTGCATTGTCCACAATTATTATGTATGGGCTTGGAAATTGTGGATCATCTGTTGCCAAGTCCGTGTATGGCATTGGTGTTCATCTTGCTGCTGAAAACTGCTCCAGTGCCAGGTATGGTGTTTCCTGTTTCAGTTGTTTAATTTGCAGACGTCATATTCTTATATGATAATGGGTAAGGGCACTGTACTAATTTTAGTTAACTATAATGCTTTTGCTGAGTCTTTGATAAGTGGTTATTACTTTTAAGTTGCTAACTTCATATGTTGATGGTGTTTTATTGTTATCTATAATTTAGTATTCTGAGTTATTTGTGGACTTAAATACTACGATTTTTAGTTTTTGGTTGAAATTGAAGCATTTTGACGTATGATTATCTAGATGTTTTAAATGCTGATTACCACGTGGAAGTCACTTAAACAAAATACAATCAGGAATCAGGAGACTTGTTTAGCCTAGTCATTCTTCCACAATCATGAGTGAGTAATACCTGTATGACTGAGTTTACTGTCATTAAATTTTTGGCTGGAACGTTGAAATGTCCCTGTCATTAATTTTTTTTTTTCTGGATCCTTTTGAGAATACTATATAAAATATTAGTCCTTTTTCTTTTCACATTTCAACATTTTAACTCAATTATTTTGCTAGTGATTTTGTCCCTGGCAATGGTGTTCTTTTTCTTGTAGAATAAGGCTTTTTGTGGCTTCTTTGTTTACCTCACGTCCTGCAGAAATTCATTACGATTTTTAGTATTTTCATTTCAGATTGTCTGTACTTAGTAGAGTATGGTAGTGATGTGCTATTGAAGGTTTCAACTCTTAATTTATTCTGCAGCGCAAACAATTGTGATGTTGACGAAAATGGAGTAAGGTACATGGTTTTTTGTCGAGTAATAATGGGAAATATGGAGGTTCTTTATCCTGGAAGCAGACAATTCCATCCCAGTAGCGAAGAATTCGATAATGGAGTTGATGATCTTGAAAGTCCAAAAGTTTATACTGTCTGGTACATGAATATGAACACACATATATACCCTGACTTTATTGTTAGTTTCAAGCTCTCTTCCAGTGCTGAAGGTGATGCTTCATTCCCTCTTTTAAGTTTGTGTTTGTTTCTTTGAATTTTGTAATTTCACTTGAACTTACATTATACCTGCTTTTCAATCAATTGATGTTGCCATGAATGTGACAAGTTGAACCCATTGGCCAGCAATCAAATAAGTGATCTTGATTGCTGAACCTATACACACTTGGATGGGAGAAGTTAAAAGTTTGTTAGTTGTTAAAAAAGGATGGATGCATGATTGAATAGATATATCCATTCATTGGCTTTCTTACCCAAGAATTCTTGACTCCAACTACTGGTTCAGGGAGTTATATTTGGCCATGCTTCTGCATATGTTGTCTGGATATAATGAATTTTGTATTCAAGTTTTTCTTAGTACTGTGCTATTGATACCTTATATTGTTCCTACAGGAAATCTGGTTGGAAATGAGATTAAGCATGATGTTTTGGTGTCCTCTATTGCTTCTGAAGGGCTTCAAGCCCCCTTGCAATTGGTGCCCTGTGCAGTTGATTTGGTGAGCTCAACATATCATGTTGTTCCTTACCAGCTATTTATTGTTCATTTTGCTCATATTTATTCATATTCTTATAATTTATATGCTGAAAGGTATTACAAATGAAAAAACATTGTTCCTTCATATTATCATGGAAGCAGATGGCAAAAAGTATCTTGTTTATATCATTGGAAATTTTTTGTTAGCTTGCCGACTAAGGGTCAAACTGAGCAAGTCACTGTATGTATCACACAGAGGCGGCAAGTTTGACTCAGATTTGTTTCATGGGTCTGATGAGAACTTCTCCTTGTGTCCTTGTTATTTATGGTGAATGCTATTCATCTTATGACACGGACTTGCCATATTATTTTTCCAAGAAGTGGATTTGATTTTATTGGAATCATTTATATTGTGTATGGGAGATAGGAAATGGAGGGGAAGGGAGGTTACTTGGTACTCTAGTAAAATATTAATTGGGGAAAAATGAATTAAATGGAAATAACTCAAGAAGGGAGAGTTAATGTTTGCCACACCTCCAATTTCAGCCTTATTGGAGGTAATAATTTGAGATAGTCCTTCCTAATATACTGGTGAAATCTTTTAATTTCTGTTTTTTTTAGCATTTGCTTTATTCAAGCACTTGCTTGTACAAACACCATATTTCTTTAAATTGAAATAAATTTTCTTTCAATAATATTCACCACTATCAGTTGACAACACCACCGGAGGCACCATCAGAGACCAAGGTGGTAGCCAGTATGACCTGTTCATGTGACCGGCCAGAGTGAGCAGATCTGTGGTGCTTGCTGTGATCATGTAACAATCACCATTTATCTGACCAGTTTGGTCATGTTGGGCCAGTGGCAATTGCTGTCACTTAGCCTTCACTTTAAATTTTTTTTTCACCGTGTCAATTTTTGCATATCTTATTCTTATATTACAAGTTATCATTGTTTAAGATAAAAAAAATATTATATTATTCTGTACATCTTTTTGGTATTACACATATTTTAGAAGCACCCATGGCTATAAGCCACATGACAATAAGAAAAATCATTTTCAGTAATGAATGGTGGAATAAGTCTTGTTGCAGTAAAAAAAAAAAGAAAAGTTTCAGTTATAAACAGTAAAAAGCTGCGTAGTTTCTCTCAAACAGTATAATAGAGATAAAGCTAATTAAGCAATGATGTCTTGGCCATATTATGGTCTTTCTGAATTATTTATGAGTGTCAAAAAGCATTACAAGGGCCTGAGGGTATTGATGATCCTTTTACTTCTGTCACATGACTTGTTATTCAGATCAAGTATTTTTTTTCCTTTTTTTTTGAAGAGCTTGTGGCTGATATGTCTTTCCATGTGAGTCTTGCTTATGGTAACTTCTAATCACTTCTCAGGCAAGCGGCAATTCTTCTTCCTCTAATTCTAGGGGATCTTTAGGAAAAGCTCCTAGTATAGGATCTAGTGCATCCAAGACTCCCAAATCCCCCTGGATGCCTTTCCCTATGTTATTTGCTGCTATCTCAAATAAAGTTCCTGCAGAAGATATGGAACTAATTACCTCTAACTATGAGCTATTCAGGGTATGTTAAATAGAATGAGTTGCTTCTTTTTGCATATTTAAGTGATCCAATTCAAAATTCTTTCATTTTTTTAGAAAAATTAATTGTACTTGTATTCCTCTTTTGATATTTCATCAGGAAAGGAAGATTAGTCGGGATGATTTTGTCAAAAAGTTGAGGTTTATTGTTGGTGATACTTTATTGAGGTCTACAATAACTACTCTTCAATGTAAGGTATGATTGATGGTAGTGAGACTTAAATTTTTATGAGAATTGCTTCTGAGCAGTAATTTCATCATATGCAGCAAAAACTCATATCCTATCTTGCAGGTTTTTTTGAAGAATAATTTCATATTATTCTTGTTAGGGGAAGTTGTGGATAATTGATGATAGTTTCCATATTCCGGGGAAAGACAGTAATGTAATTACAGTTTTATTGTGGGGTGGAGTAGAAAAGTCCTTTCAAGGTGTTTCCCCTCCCAAAGTCAGACGTGGAACATAAGATGATCGCTGATGTAAATGGCGGTCATAGAATTGAACAATTTCCCATTTTCGATATTCTGAATTTCATAAATTGGAACCAAAAGTGGGGGGGGATTTTATAGCTCAACTCTTTGTTTGTCAATTTGCAGGTGCCTGTAAAGCATGAGCTGGAAGCATCAAATCGTAATGTGCAAGGTTAACTTCTGAAGTATGTCTACTTGGTATTTGGATGTTGAAAGGCACCCTTTCTCTCTTTTCCTCATTTTCTAATGATGCTAAGCAAAAACACTACTTTGGGTGTGTGTTTTCCAGAAATGTGTCGACATAATATTGTGAATACCGTGGGAGATAGGGCCTAGTTCTGTAAGTCTGTTAGGAAGCAGGTTAGTTTCTATTAGGATATCGATAGCAGTTTCTGAGCCAAAAGACTGGTTTTGGTCAGAGCAAGCTAGTACTTTTTCTAGTTGCTGAAACAGCGGAACATGCCAGTGCTATTTGTTATTGTTATGTTATTTCTAGTGCTTGTTTTACCATCCATCAGGGAATACCACGCAACCATGCAAGAAAATTTTGTTCTGTATAAGCCATAACCGTTAGTGAGTCATTCAGTATCTTTTGAGAAATTATAGAGTTTTTGCTCTGATGTAAGTAAATTATTTTTATAAAATTTAGTTGATGTAGTAATGAGATAATAAAAGGTAATTGAAAAATCAACTGAAGTTAAAAGATACTCAAAGTAGATTTGAAAATATATATTCTAATCACTAGAAATATACTATTTTAGAATAAAGTTTATGATTAGATTGGATTTTCGTTTCTTTTTAATTAATTAAATGCAAAAGCTAACCTTCTAACTTACAAGAAATTGTGAAGGTTTCTCAATTTTTATAATTATAATTATTTTTTGTTGTCATAATTATTGTTGAATTCATTATTCTAAAATATAATTTAATTTATTGTTATATAATAAATATATTATTAATTTGAATGTAATTTATAAATACTTAAGGTAAACTAGTAATAAAAAAGTACACTAAACAATTTTGTTTTTGACAAATTATCATTTAAATAATAAGTACTTATATATATATATCTTTTTAAAAGATGATTAGTACTTATATCTCTTTTTCTCCAAATTCTTGAATTATACGTCATTCTATCAATAAAAATAAACTTTATTTTTAAAAATATATTGACAAATATAATATTTATTTACAAAATAAAATGCAGAAGTAGAAATGTATAAACTATGTAAAAGAAAATATATTCAAAGAAATACTAAAATGTATTCTAATTATAAAAATTAAAGTATTATTTTTTAAGAACAATAATTTTTTTTTTTTAAATGTAGCATAACTCAAGCTGTACCACTTGGAAAGAAAATAAAACAAAGAAAACATGGAACCAATAGTAGCGGTGAGCGTAAGTTTGTATTTTGTCGGGTGAGATTATCATTATCCGCGTTGAAGGAAACGGTGGATTGTGGGCGTCTGTTCTCATTGCTTTTCGTCCAAGCAAGGAGAGAGAAGGAAAGAAAGGAAAGATTACACCACCGACTTAGACTACCGCCTGTAAACTCAAGGGTCTTTATTAACGTCGTCAAATGGCTTCTTGAAACTGTTCCTCTCGCCGAGTTAGGGTTTCTTCTTCCTTTTCGCTCGGACACAAAACCCTTCCTACGCAGAGAGAAACCATAAGAGAAAGATAGAAAGGAAATCTCGGTTTGTTTATTTTGTCATATCGACAGGTAGTCTCTTCCAATAATTTTTTCTTCTTTTAAATAATAATTTCTGTCTCATCTCCAATCAGAGTGGTTTCGAGTTGTTTGACAGTCTTTTCGTTTCTGGTTTTTTTGGGCTTGTTATCGAGATATTTTTGTTGTTTGTCTCTAAATTCGATTATGAGAAAGAACGGTGCAGATCGGGGAAAGTTATGGCCGATTTGTGTTTCGCAATGTTTTTTTTTTGGGTTTTAGGTTTGACATGTGTTTCCCCGAGTTAATTGAGCTGCTTTTGTCGTTTTATCCGAGAAACTTGTTTGGTTTAAGTCGGCTATCATTTTCGTTTGTTGATCTTCTCTTTAATTGTTTGAGGTATTTTCTTTCAGAATTTGAAATTGGTTTGTGGATCAATTGTGGAGAGGTTAATTTTGGCGAGAATATTGAATTTTTTGTTGACGAGGTCAACGTGGGATCTTTATTGTGGATCGAGGATTATAGATATAATTTCTTAGTTGATCAGAATTTATGAAATGGTAGATGGATAGTGGTTATGAACTGTTCCATTAACGCCAAGTAATGGTAGCAACTCTTGACTGTAGTCTTCGAGATTCTTTTGAGTTACTTCTGTGTTAATGGAGTTATTCTTTGAGTTGATATTGAAGGTCTTAAGTGTTGTCTTTGGATGGTGCAGGAACAAGGCTCCTCAAGACCTGTAGCATAAATAAAGAATTGGCTTTTCTTTGTGAATTTCTTTTATGATTGTAAAGACGAGGAAGATGCAGAAGATGAACATGTACAGGACGAATGGTTATCTTCTATAACAAATTGATTTTTTTTTATTAATTTGGCTATGGATTTTTTTTTCAGTCAAGATTGAATATCTAAAAGATGTTTCCATTTGATGCTGTAGGAGCAGAGGTACTCAAGGATGTAAAATAAAAGAGGAAACATCTTTTCTTCTGTGAATTTTGTTACTGTTAAGATGAATATGTACAGGATTACGCTGTGTAAGTTTATCCTTGCTAATAGATTTGGTTATTGTTTCTATTATTGAGTGAACAATTTTAGGTTTGTTGTTTATATCACCAACGACATCAGTTGATGATTGCATTGAGAATTATAACTATTTTTAGTAGGTGTGTTGTGGCAAAAACACGTCATATATTGGACTTTTGTCCTTTTTGTTTTTCAATTGGGTAGGTTGGTTATACAGTCTTAATTAATAAGGTTGGTTCCCTTTTAAGGGATATTATACAATTGGCTTAAAGTGGTTTCTTTTTAGATCACTTCAAATATGATTTGGTTAAAATTGTCCGTTCGTCTATTTTCTATATGAATTCAGATTATATTTTTTTTCTGTACTAGAAGTTGAATGCATCAATTTAAGCTTATTTTCCATTTGCTTTGGTCCCAAATCAAGATATCTGATGGAATCTTAATTTAATTGAGTTCATTGCTTTAATTTTTTTTTAAAATTATGTCCAGGTTGTATTTGGTTAAGGGAATTTATTTGTAAGAAAATGTTCTTGCTGGCAGTTATTTAGACGTTTGGTGATAGAAAAATGCATGATGGTATAATCTAATATGGGATTGGATTTTGAGTTTAACATACTTTCTTAACTTGCATTGGTACTTGCCTTTTTGGATTATAATTGTAGCTATGAACATTTTGCTCCTTTTAGTGCGTTGCTTTAGGATTGGAGGATTAAAATTCAGCCAAGCTGGACCATGTAAACACATTTTAATATTTCTTATGTGCTGGTTTGCTTTGTTTTTGGCATTCCAAATCAAGATCGAATGTGCAAGGAATAACTGTGGCATTTTGAAAGGAAAGAAATTGTGAAAGAGGTTTCCATGCATGATGCTAATATGATGCATTATCATATTTGTTCCCAATAATTGCTTACTTAGATTTTTTTTTCCTCTGATTGGCAGAGATGTTTTTCAATTTAATATAGGTGAGCAGGAAGTATACCATCTTATATGACAAATAACATATAGCTGAACTCAAACCTGAATATTAAAGGGTAATGAATACTTACTTTTCTGTAAAGAATGCATACTTACTTTTCTTAGTTAAATTCAGTATATATAATATTGTACTTGTTAGAGATTATCACTGCATGATTGTTCATAGCACCAACCTGTACCTTCTGATCTGCACCAGAAACACTGCTGCCAAATTAGTACTGTTGACTTGTTCATTTGCAGCTTCCGTGTGTTAGATTGGAAATGCTTGAAAGAATGATTCTTTTCTTTCCTTTTTTTTTTAAAGTAAGGAGTAGTTGGACAATGCTATTCGTTTTACTTGTGCAAATGAATCGGTAGGCCTAAGTATAACAAGTTTGTAGCTCTATTTGAAGAATCAAAGGCGTCGTCTAAATTTATATGTTAGATGTGCTTCAGTTTTGCCTGGCTGATCGCTTTCGTCTCAAGTGCAGTGGGTAATAGAAGTTACTTTTGCTTTTCATGATAAAGAAGCATGGTCTATTACTATTTCAAGTATTGAAGTGATTTATAGATTTAATGCTTGGATGTTCAATGAGTGATTGTGTTGTATAATCTTGTGTTACATTTCCTGTTTGTTTTTTAGTATCTTCTTTCCATAACTGTTAAATTAGATATTCTTAGAATTGATTATATTATACGATTCTGATATGTAGTTAGTTTTACTTTCACAGGGTTTGCTAGTTGACCTAAATGGGACAGTTTCTTGGGAACAATTGGAGCCTACTTGTTAGGTAATTTTGACTTGGAACTTTTTGCTTAAACTTGTTGATAGGATTGATCTAGTAGGCAAAAATGGAATCAAGAATCGCAAAGGTATTGGATAGAAAAACTCGTGGAGTTGTGCTTGGCATCAAAAGAAAGCGGGCAGAGAGATATGCAGCATATTTTGCAAGAGCTTCCTGCACAGAGATATCGCACCGGTCTACTTCAAATTTGTCTGGCAATAAGGTTGAAAAGAGAAGAAAATTAGACAGATGCAAGAGCAAGCCCAGCAGCTGTGGGAATTCTTTAAAAAGATCTTTAGTCCAACGCTATTCAAAATTTATGAAGGCAAGTATCCCACAGCGTATAATGTTCTACGAGAATGGTGAATGGATTGATTTTCCTGAGGATATCCTTGGCATGATTAAGAAAGGTTTTGAAGAAAGAAGGACAGCTGTTGAAGTGGAGCTAAGTGGTCGGCGTGTTATGCTAGATTTCTTGCACATGGTTCGGCTGGATTTGAAAACAGGATTGCAGCAACCGATTGCATGGATTGATGCAGCAGGTGGCTGCTTCTTTCCTGAAGTTTATGCTGATGGCAATGAAGCATCTGACTCTTGTCTCCAAGAATATGGGAATAGGGAGTTTTATGGACCCCATGAGGTCAAGCTGCAACTTGAAATTGATTTTAGTGGATTGGATCAAAGTGGGGAATCAAAAGCTTCAGTCAAGCAGATTCAAGTTGGCGAGAAACTTCCTGGACCTAGGAGGAAGTGCTACTGTGTACGAGAATGTAAGACTGATCAAGGATCATTTCTAAAGGAGCCTTATGGAGGCCATGAGATCAAGCTGCATCTTGAAATTGATCTTAGTCGAGTTAATGACACTAAACCAGGGGAGCGTACTGGGGAGTCAAATGCTTTAGTCAAGCAGATTCAAGTTGGTCAGAAATCTACTCAACCTAGTGATAAGCAGTATGTTGCAGAGGTTGAGAGTAGCTGTAACCACGATCCTGATGCAAAATTGGATGAATCCTTTGAGGAGAACCACCAGATGAAGGCCAATTTACTCTCTGGAGTCAAATCTGCCCATGAAGAATTGGATACTGATTTTATTGTGAATAAGTTCTTTTCCGGCATTAGCCCTTCTGATGCGGAGGTACTTGCTGTCCATCGGTGCTCCAACGTTTCAATGCAAGCTCGGTTGGAACTTTTCAAGAAGCAGGTTGAAATTACAAAAAAGTATCATGGGGACGCAAATGTTCGATATGCTTGGCTTCCTTCTTCGAAAGAAGCATTGTCTACAATATTGTTGTATGGGTGTGGATACTGGGGACTGTCCAATGCTAAGTTCACATATGGCATTGGCATCCATCTTGCTGCTGAAAACTGTTCCTATGCAAGGTATTTGTTCTTTTTATATATACTGCTGAATTTGCTGGTAAATAATATCATGAATGCTATGGTCGTTGGTGTTATTCTTTTATTATAGTTGCTATCACTGTCTTGTATTTTTTTGAAA